AACGATGGAAATAGATCCCCTTGTGAAACAACAGAAAAGAATCAAAAGAGTCAAATGATAATTCAAAATGTTTCAGAAAAAAAGGTAGGCAATATCATTAATTCCATTGCAAAAAGTGATGACATGTAAATCAATATTAAAAGTACTACATATGATTTTAGCAGAAGATCAATAAAGGAAAACAACCAGAATCAAAAGCAACTAAGAGATATGATGACAGAAGTGTAAGTAACATTGAATTTATTTTTATTTTAGGATTTCTCCAGTAATGTTTTGATAAAATTATTCTTTTATTGTTGGTTATATTAAACACTAATTCCCTATTTCTAACCATCATGCTAATAAGAGTGATGATCTAGCACCTGCGATAATGATGGCCAGTTCCCTAAATTCTATATCAAACAATGTAACAATATCACATGATAGTGAACCCAATTCGAGATTTGAACCATAAAAATAATTTTAAAATCACGAATTTTATTTCATAATATAAACGCAATAAACTCAATTTTCACGATGGATAGCATATATTTAGTAAAATCGAAATTACAGTTCATATAGATAATTGGTTCCATCTGCAAGTCCGATATTCACTTTTTGAGTATCAGAATGGCGGGTTATCGAGTTTGAATTATGGAACAAACATTGTGGGCCGATTTTTTTACCGAATATGTCAGACTATCGGTTTTGACAAGATGGATTATATTTAGTTTTAAGCTTCTTTAAATTTTTATTAAAAATTTTTTTTTAAAAACAAATCTTTAAAAATTTTAGCACTAATATAAATAATTTGATTGAATAGACCACCATATATCTTTCCAATTCAAATTTTGTCTAATACGTATTACTAAGTCTTATTAGATATTTGGATCATCTGCTAGGAAAATCACTATTTGAAAGCAAGTTCCAAACAGTGATTTCCTAGCAGATGAACCGTTTATCTAAACGGTCGAATAATCCGAATTTTACTAATTATTCAGGATTATCCGGCTATTCATAATGCAATTTATAGAAATGCCCCATTTTGCCGACAGCCATTTAATCTAAAAGTCATTTAGCCGACATCACACGGTGAAAATTTACTGTTCATGTAAAATGCTAACCCTAACCCTATGCAGTGTCGGTTAAATGACTGTAAGTAAAATGGTTTTCGAGGAAATGAGATCCACCCGCAATTTACAATATTGGTGCTGCCAAGCCAGGAATTTTTAAAAATAGAGTTCTTTACATAACGGAATTCGGGCTTTAAATGATACTAATACGTGACCAAAAAACAGTATAATTTATTATTTTAGTCAGAACGATTAAAGCCCACGTTCCATTATGTAAAGATTTTATTTTTAGAATTCCTGGTTTTCACTTGGTGGCACCATATTAGGGATGGATCAGTCCTGGAAAGACCGAATAAGGACCGATCTTTTTAATTTCATAATTCTGGAAAATCTGGCAAAAATTGACCGACCGAATATTTGCCGATTCGTTATGATAAACTATTGATTCGGATGTAATTACATCCGAATCAAAAGTTTATCATATCGAGATCAGTTCGGACCAGTCTTCATAAATAACTAAAAAATTATTTTAAACAATCGCTTATTTCAATTACCGATATTATATGATTTAATTCTCTCCGCTAGCCAATAGGATAGTTAGAGGTTGGGACCTCCTTTGGGACCGAGACCGGACCAAAAAACGTTAATGAACCGGTCTTATTAGGACCGGACGGACTGGACCGGACTGATCCATCCCTACACAATATGATCTACAAGTCGCTTGTTATGTTTGTCATAACACGAGATAAAATTCATGATCGTAGGTATCTGCACAATAATAATTCTTTATTGTCTGGTTTATCAAAATAACTTTCGGAATTAGTCAATGACGGATAGACAGATTCGAGGTAGGAACGTTCCAAATAAGGAAATGATGATCCCGATCATGCATAATAGTTTAGCCAATTAAAATCACAA